GAATGCTTTCTTCATCCATGAAAGGATACTCCTGAACGCCTGTGTTGTGGTGTGCGGATTGAGCACAGAATTTACAGTTTTCAGGACATTTGCCGGACCGAGCATTAACAATGGCACATACATCCACAGAATTATCATTGAAATGTTGGCGAATTTTATCAGCCATAGCGAGTAGAATCATGGTATCATCATCTGAAGTATGAATCAGCTCGATTGCTTCTTCTTTTGTAATTTCGCCGTCGTTCATGATGCGGTTTGCAATGGTAAGAATTTTTTCGTATGTACCCACTTGGGATGGTTGTTGATCTATAGGCAAAGCCATAATAGCCTCCGGTAAATTGTTAACTTAATAAAAACATAATATATTGACAATTTGATTGTAAACGTTCACGCATAAATTGTCAACTTAATACATGAATTGGTTAACAAAAATAATAACATGTTATGGTTCATATCTTATGATGAAAGAATATGAGCTTATCTTATAATTTATATTTATTAATAGTTAAGAGAAATTTAGTTTAACTATATCTTTTTGATGCTAAATGATAGTTATTTTTAACTTATCTTTAAGGTTTTGTAGTATAATAAACTATTGTAATTACTATATATAACTATAATAAAAATATTTATGGAGGAGTGGATATAGATGCAGCCGTTTCGATTTATACACTGTGGTGATCTGCATTTAGGGGCACCCTTTCAATATGCTACAGGTATTAGCAATGCTGTTGATCGCGCCGTAAGTGAAGCAACCTATGTAGCTTTAGATAAAATTATTGATACTGCTATTACAGAACATGTGCATGCTGTCGTAATAGCTGGGGATATTTATAATAGCGAAGACCATAATTTAGAGGCTCAAGTCCGTTTTGTGCGCGCCATGTATCGCTTGGCTGAGCATCGTATTGATGTCTATATGGTACAAGGTAATCATGATCCTGCTGAAAGCTGGAAAGCGCAACTGCAGATGCCAGATAATGTCCATATATTTTCTAGCGAACAGGTACAGCGTTTCCCGCTCATCGTTAACAATATAGAAATTGGTGGCGTATATGGCATTAGTTGTGGTCATGGTAATGAAAGCGACAACTATGCTCGTCAATACAGAGCTTTTGAACGGGATGAGTTTTCCCTTGCTGTCATGCATGGTACTGTAGGTTCTAGTGTAGGATCTGAAAATCATAATGTAACAGGACCTTGTAACTTAACTGATTTAACAGAGGCTGCCATGGATTATTGGGCATTGGGACATATTCATAAATCTCAAGTTCTTAGCGAGGAACCTCTCGTAGTTTATGCGGGTAATTCGCAAGGATTGCATCGTAAAGAACATGGACCTAAAGGATGTTATCTTGTATCCGTATCTCATAATGGTCATTGTGATTTGCAATTTATCGACACTTGTGCAGTCCGATTTGAGGAAATCAAAATCGATATTGCTGGCATGCAAAATGAAACAGATTTCTTAGAGATTTTGCGGCATAAAAAAGAAAACTTGCGAAAGCAACATAAGAAAAACATCTTGCTATCCCTCGTTTTGTCCGGAACGGGACCTCTACATCGCCTATGTACGCAAGAGGAGATTCGAAAACTATGGTTGCAAGAGTCTCAAAATGAAGAGAAAGGCAAATCTATATTCGTTATGCCTTACCGTATTATTTCTAATACACGACCTAGTATTAATCTAGTTGAACGACGTTTATTAACAGATGTAGTAGGTGATTACTTGCGTGCTTATGACAATATGGTAGATGGAGATGCGATACAGATTGCGCGTCAAATCATGGCTAATCGTCCTGAATTTAAGCGCTTAGGCGCATATGCCGATTTATTGAGTGATGAATTATTGGCACGAGCTTTGAAACGTTGTGAAATTGAAGGTGTTACTGTGTTGATGGGGGCTAATGATGAACATTAAACGTATACGATTTGATGAATTTGGCCCGTATCGCGACTGGTCTTTCTCCACGGGTGACAATGGGGTTCAACTCATGTATGGCCCTAATGAAAGTGGTAAAACATCCTTGCTCGAAGGGATGCGCACCTTGTTATTTGGCGGTACTCATAAGGCTTATGGCTCTATGACGGGGGCCCTTGATGTGGACCGTAATGGTGAAAGTTACTATATCGGTCGTAAGGGTAAGCAGTTAGACTTTTACAGCCCTGGTCATCCTGCCATCCATGAAGAGCCGGCTCAACATTGGTGGCATGGCATCGATAAAAAAACATATAACCGCATATTTGCGTTAACATTAGACGATCTACAAGGCCTTGATGTATTACAAGAGGTAGAGGTTCGTTCTCGATTCTTTGGCGCCGAAGGGGGAGAACACTTAGGTGGAGCTGTTAAGGATGTTGAAAAAGGGGCTACAGACCTACTTGTAGCATCCTCAAACGGTAAACGTCGCATCAATGTATTGATGGATGAGCTTAAAGAAAACCGTCAAAAGTTGAGTCAGTTGGCGGAGCATGAAGCGCAATATGTGGAATTACAAACCGTCTTTCACAGTACGGAGCAAACCGAAATGGAATTGCAAAATCAGTTGAAAGAATGGAAGGAATATCGGGATGGTATCGATGTAGTATTGCGTGCGTGGGATACGTATCGTCGCAGTGAAGAGGCGCGTATGCACATGCAGCAGTATAATAGTGAGCTCGCCTTGAGTCGTGATGAGTTCCTACACCTTGATGAAGAAATTAAACGGGCTCGCGACAATATGCAGTTATGGCAGGAAAAGGAAGCGGCATTGATGCCCGCTAACTTTAGTCCTGATAGCCCATTTGGAACTTACGGCCAAGATATTGAAGATCTTATTCAACAAGGTGCTAAATGGGAGCAATTACGCCGTGAGTGCGAAGAAGGCGATGTGTACATCCGTAAGGTTAGAGAACAATTAGAGTTTTCACGCACCTTACATTCTGCGTGGCGTCACGATGAGCCAATGGCAGAAGACATCAATTGGTTTGATGGAGAACGTTTGGCAAGTCGTTTGCGCACCGCAAAAGAACAACTTTTACATTGGCAAGACCGCAAGCCTGCAGAGGCTACCGATGAGGTGCCGACGGCGAACCTTGACGGTGCAACTTTACCTAACTTTAGTGAAGAAGAATTAGCTAAAAAAGAATATTTAGAACGTGAATTAGATCGTATCTTAATGGATATAGATCAAGTAGAGGCTAGACGGAATAGTTATGGTTCAGATGCACAGCCCACAATTCTGCCAAAATGGCTACAACGCATTAGTGGTATAGGTGCTGTTATAGCTGTATTGGTAGTATTAGCAGGCCTGTTGGTTCTTGAATCTGCATTATATACTATAGGTGGTTTTATTTTCTTGATTCTATCTATGGGGCTATTCTGGTATGCTACCTGGAGGCTTCATAATGGTAACTCTGATGTGTCTAAATTAAACTATGAGTTACAAATTTTATCTTCCCGTAAATCTGATGTAGAACATCAGCTAGAGGCTTTGATCAAGGCTGCTACACCTACAGTGAGCCCTGTACCATCCTTAGAAGGAGAGGCACATCTTGAGCGTTGGATTCAGGAAGGGCATATCTTACAAGGTATTTATGATGAAGCCCTCGCAGCATGGCAAAACTGGTTACCGCAAGGGGCGGCTAAGAGTCTCGATGAAGATGATTTCTTTGGTCTCAAACATGAATATGATCAATATCATGAGCAACTACGTACTATAGAAGGCTATGAAAAGCGTTTAGCGGAGCATAAAGAAGGTCTACGCATTATTGAAGACCAAGCGATGGCTTTGTGGTATAACCTTGGAATAGAGTCACCAGTATCTCCTACGGAATTAAAACGTATTTATAATCAATATAAGAACTTTCAACAAAATAAAATTGTATGGGAACAAAAGGAAGCACAACGTAAAAGCTTCCGCAACGAATACGATAATTGGCATCGTAAGGAAAAAGAGCTACTTCTTCGTCAACAAGAACTGCTCCATAAAGCTGGTATGGAAAGTTCCAACGAGTATCGTCAACATCTTATCGATGAGGACCAATATAAACAGTGGCAAACTATTTACAAGCAAAGTCGGGTACAGCTGGATTTACTTGCTCCTGGTGCGGAGAATAAAGACCTGTTCTATCGTCGTTTGCGAGAAGGCAACAAAGATAACTGGTTAGATGAATTGGCTCACTCTGAGCGTGAAATAGCCTCTATTGAAGATAAATTGGCTACTTTGTACGAGCGTCGTGGTCAAATCGTTGAAGCAATGCGTACACTTGGATCTGACCAGGAGCAACACCAAATGTTGCAAGAACGAGAGACTTTACAAAGTGAATTAGAGTCTGCTCTCGAAGATTGGGCTACGCAAGTATTGATAAGCTATTGTATGGATAAGGCTCAACAATCGTATGAACAAGAAAAACAACCTCATATGTTAGAGCTTGCCTCCTCTTATGTTGAAAAACTAACTGGTGAGAGGTATACGCTTGATATTCTAGGCATCAATAAAGGGGTAGCACTTATCAACAATAATGGGGAACGACTAGAACTTAAATTTTGGTCTAGTGGCTTAGCTGATCAAGTGTACTTGTCATTACGACTCGCCCTAGCTAAGGTATTCTCTTATCAAGTGGAGTCCTTGCCGATTATCTTGGACGATATTCTTGTGCGCTTTGACGAAAATCGTCAACGTAGTGCTTTAGAATTATTGGCTGAGCTTGGGAAAAATCAACAGATTTGGCTCTTTACTTGTCAACGCTCCGTATATGATATGGCTCAATCTATTATGGGCATCGATTGCCATAGATTGAGTCGTAGCTAAATGAATTTCAGACTTGAATTAAAGACTCAGTCAAATTAAAGTGGTAATGAAATAATAATCCCTGTGGAGGCATATGCTTTCACAGGGATTATTAAAGAATAAATAATGTAAGTGATTGTAACTAAAGTAACTGTTTTGGTTACCATAGTGTGTTAGTATACATTTAGAACGAAAGGGGTTGAGTACTTGAACACAGCTTATTTGGACATGATCCAAGGGAGGAACCCGGGTGTAACGCCTGTGTGGTATATGCGTCAAGCTGGCCGTAGCCAAGCGGAATATCGCAAAATCAAAGAAAAATATACATTATTTGAAATTACAAAAGAGCCTGAGCTATGTGCTCGTGTTACGGAATTACCTGTTAAGGAATACGGCGTCGATGCGGCGATTCTCTACAAAGATATTATGAGCCCAATGGTGGCCATGAATGTGAATGTAGAACTCAAGGCCGGTGTAGGACCTGTGTTTAGCACGCCTATCCGTTCTATGGCTGATGTAGATGCTCTAGAACCCTTTGATCCTACCAAGGTAGAGTACATCAGTAAAACGATTACACTCTTAACATCTGGCATGCTAGACGTACCACTCATTGGTTTCTGTGGTGCACCGTTTACGATTGCATCCTACCTTATCGAAGGGGGACCAACGAAAAACTACAATAAGACTCGTGGCATGCTCATAGGCGCTCCTTATGTGTGGAATGCACTGATGACTAAACTAGCGGACATGTCTATTGCGTACTTATCCATGCAAGCCGAAGCCGGTGCCAATGCACTTCAAATCTTCGACTCTTGGGTAGGGGCTGTTAATGCAGATCAGTATAAACAAGGGATTTACCCTCATATGGAGCGGATCATCAAAACTGTGAAAGCTAAATACCCTCATTTGCCAATGGCCATGAATGGCGTTGGTACGGATCATTTGGTGTCTATTTGGTCTCACCTGCCGTTAGATGTCATTGCCCTTGATTGGCGTAGTTCCATCGTTATGGCAAACGAGCGCGGTGTAACACAAACGGTACAAGGTAACTTAGATCCGGCGTATTTGTTCGGAGACGAAAAAACATTGGCCCGCGAAGTGGATCGTATCTTGCTCGACGGCATTCGCTATGGGCGCCATATCTTTAATTTAGGTCATGGCATATTCCCTGAGGCAGATCCTCAAAAACTCCATTGGCTAACGGACTATGTGCATGAACGTAGTCGTGAACTTTGGGCTCAAGAGAGGTAAATTAGTGAAAGTAGAAAAAAAGGGATTATTATTCCTGTCTTATAGTAGCCCTTCAAGTAAGGATGATTTAGTACCCTATATGACGAGCATTCGTCGTGGCCGTGTACCAACGGAAGCAGAGCTTACAAATCTCACTAAGCGTTATGATACAATCGGTCAATGGGAAAATGTTGAACTCCAAACTATGGCAGAGTGCCAATATAAAACCTTGCTTACTCTGTTGCCAATTATGCCTTCCGCTATTGGTTTTTTACATATGAAACCATCCATTGCAAATGCGGTTGACTCTTTAGTCCAGCAAGGAGCGGAGCATATTATCGCTATTGTAACAGCTCCATTCTTTACCGCTCTCGGTACAGGGGCTTATGAAAAACAAGTACAAGCAGCTATTTCAAATTATGATAATGTGACATTCGACTTTATCCGTTCCTGGTGGGACCAACCAACTTTCAAGGAATACTGGGTAAAAGCACTTTCAGAGTGTGTGCATAATGCTAAAGATGTATTCGTTATTTTTAGTGCGCACAGTATACCGCTCATTAATAATCATGGTGGCGATTCGTATGCGTTAGCTTTAGAGGAAAGTGCTAAAGAGATTGCTGAACATTGTAAATTACCGAAATGGACTGTAGCATGGCAAAGTGAGGCTCCTCATGGTCAATGGTTGGGCCCTACTGTAGAGGATGCAATCAATGAAGCCTTACAAACTGATGCTACTCGCATTGCTTTTGTACCATTTGGGTTTGTAAGTAATCACGTTGAGGTACTGTACGATAATGATGTGGAGTGTAAAGAACTCGTTGAAGCAAAGGGCGCAACATATATGCGTGCACCCATGCCAAATTGTAATGAAACATTTTTACAAGCAATGGCGAGTGCAATAATAGAAAGGATTCATTCGTGAACGTAACAATTGTGGGCGGTGGCCTAACAGGGCTAACAGCGGCTTATTATTTAGGCCATGCAAAGCCGGAATGGACCATTACTCTTTTCGAACAAGCACCACGATTTGGGGGGAAAATACAAACGCAACGTGTGGATGACTTCGTAGTGGAACTCGGTCCTGACTCTTATTTGGGTCGTAAAACCGAAATGACAGATCTCGTGCATGATCTTGGACTAGGTGATACCCTTGTGTCTAATGAAACAGGTCAAGCCTTTGTATATGATAAGGGCTCTATCCACCCAATTCCAGGCGGCTCCATCATGGGCATTCCTACGGAAATGATGCCCTTTGTGAAAGCAACACTCATTTCCTGGCCTGGTAAATTGCGTGCTGGTCTAGATTATTTTAAGAAACCATACCAACTCGATAAAAATGGGGATGTATCCATTGGTCATTTTTTCAAATACCACTTAGGACAAGAAATGATGGATAAACTCATCGAGCCCCTATTAGCGGGTATCTATGGTGGCGATATTTATGAAATTAGTCTATTGTCGACATTTCCTCATTTTATTCAAGTAGAACAAAAGTATGGGAACATGGTAAAAGGTATGATGGCTGCTAAGATGAGTCACTCCAAAGCAGGTGTCTCTAAGGCCGCCAAAGGGGCTGTTACTGAAGGGGATGTTCCTCGAGCTGGTAAAGGCACTATGACGGACCGTCAATTTGAAAGTCACGAAGCTAAGACTAGTCAAGATACTTCTGCTGGTAATAGTGTAAACAATTCTAGTCATATGACAAAGACTAGTTCTAATCATCAGTCTGCTAAGGCACAAGCGGATATGGAAAGTCGAAAGGGTACTGCTGCTCAATCCGGCATGTTCCGTCAATTGACAGGTGGACTTGAAAGCGTGATTGCTGCTATCGTCAAGGCTATGCCTAGTAATGTACACTTGCATACAGGTGTGCTAGTTTCTGATATTCGATATATTGATGGTGTATATGCAATCGATGTAGTGAAGTCGTGTAACGATTCTTGTGGCTGTCAATCTACGGCAGACCATGTGATTATCACTACACCGCCGGCAACATATACTCAATGGTTCAAGGATGATGCGGGTTTTGATTTCTTGCGATCCATGGAGCAATCTAGTTGCGCCATTGCTATTATGGCCTTTGATAAAAGTACTTTTGATGGTGATTTAAAAGGATCGGGTCTGCTTATTACCCGTAATACGGATACACCTCTTACAGCGTGTACTATTCTTAATCAAAAATGGCCTCAAACTACCCCTGATGATAAGGTGGTTTTGCGCGTCTTTATTGGTAAGCCAGGTAATGATGTAGTAGAACGACTCAGTGAAGAGGAACTTTCAGAATTGGCAGTCAAAGAAATTCAACATATTATGAATTTTTCTGCCAAGCCAGAGTGGGTGCGCATCAATCGTCTCATTCACTGCATGCCTCAATATAATGTAGGCCATCGTGCAGGTATTAAAGTCGTACGTGAACATGTAGCCGAGCAGTATCCAAATCTACACCTCATCGGCACACCTTTTGATGGAATCGGGATCCCTGACGGTGTAAAACAAGCAAAAGAACTCGTAGAAAAACTTGTGAATGACAAGTAAAAGTGACTTGCTTAAAAGAGTTAGTATAGTATTAAGCGACATAGGATTATCTCAGACTAAAAGCAGTAATTTAGTCTTAACTAAAGAATGTACTAATAAAAAATCTCAATAGAAATTAAATTGAAAAGACTCTATATGCTATAATAGTAAGTGGAGTCTTTTGATTTCCGTAATTATAGATATACATTATTATTTTGATATAATCACCATAGATAGGAGTGATCATAATGGGAAAAGCAATCCCTACAGTAGAAGGTTGGCATAGCCAACACATGGTATTTGCCATGGATTTCAGCGCATGGAACTGCTTCACAGAGGATGTAAAAGCAGCAGCGCGCAATGAATTAAAAGCATTCTTAGTCGACCTTGAAGCTAAACATCAAGCTAAAGAAGGTAGCTATGCATTCTATGATTGTAATGGAGCAAAAGGGGATTTAATCCTATGGATTCTCGGTCCATCCCTTGAATACTTGGCTCAAGTAGAACGTAAATTCCGTCGTTTAGCTATTGCAAGCGTGTTGGTGCAAACTTATTCTTATACTTCTGTAACAGAAGTAAGTACCTATGTTAAGGCCAAGTTAGATACAGAGGAAGTTAATCAAAAATTATATCCTCATGTACCTCGCGATAAATATATCTGTTTTTATAATATGAGTAAAAAACGCGAAGGTGATGACAATTGGTTCATGTTACCACCGCAAGAGCGCGGTGCTTTGATGAAAGCTCACGGTGAACTTGGTAAAACATACTTGGATGTATTATCTGAATTCACTACTGGTGGCTGTGGCCTAGACGACTGGGAATGGGGTATTACTATCTTTAGTAACGACGACATCCAATTCAAAAAAATTGTATACGATATGCGCTTCGAAGAAGCCAGTGCAAAATACGGAATCTTCAGCGACTTCTATGTTGGTACTATCATCGACGACGCACTACTTGAAGAAATCTTTGGATAATAAAAAATGGACTGCGTTGCAGTCCATTTTTCTTCCCTTAACATGAAGGCTATAATTTTAAACAAAAAATTTTTGTATTTTTTACTGTACTGCGTAAAATATAATTCACTATGTCTGAGTATCTTATTTATAACTATATTTTTATAAAAGAGAACCCCGCATCGATCCGACTTACGAGGTCAAGGCCCTAGGCCGCAGACCTGATAAGTATGGAGGAGAGATGCGGGGTTCTCTTTTATCACTTAGTTTAGAAAAGTGAATTATATTTTGTTGTACCGTCGAGTGAACGTAAATTTTCTGTTTCCAGAAAATTATACGTTCATGTTTGCGCTTTTACGCACATAGAACCAGTAGCACACAGCTACCGTTACAAGGTTGAACGCAAGTAATACAGCAAAGGCTGGGTGAATATTGCCGAACATGGAATATACAAAGCCAAAAATCTTAGGTGTAACGAAGGCACCGTATGCAGCTACAGCGGCTACGAAACCTGTAATTAAAGAGGAGAGCAATGGATTGCCAAATACGTGTGGAATCATACGGAATGTTGCACCGGTAGCAAAACCACAGCATACAAAAGTTAATACGGACATTGCAAAGAAGAATGGGAAGTTGTGCATATCTACAGCAACTGCAATTAATGCGGTGGATGCACATAAGCCGATAAGACTAATAAAGGTAACTTTTGTACCACTATTGATTTTATCTGCTAACCAACCACCCACAGGACGAAGGGCACCTGCTACGAGTGGACCTACAAATGCGATAGAAGCAAATGGAATTTCAGGGAATTCTTTGCCTACTAATAGACCAAGTGCTGCTGCGTAACCAGAGAATGCACCGAAAGAACATGTATAGAGCAATGTTAGCGCCCATGTGTGCTTGTTACCAAAGATTTGTACGAGGTTTTTAGGATTTGGTTTTTCTAGAGGTAGGTTATCCATGAAGCGAGTCATCAATGCAAGGATAACAACAAGAGGTACAACCCACATGAAAGCTGCATTAGCTAGATATACTGCGTTGCCCTTAATAATTGTTGGCGTTACACCAAATACACTACCTAAAGCCGCAGATCCCATAGCAAATGGAGCTAGGAAGTAGATTACAGAAATGCCAAGATTACCAACGCCACCGTTGATACCAAGAGCTGTGCCTTTTTCAGATTTAGGGAAGAAGTTACCAATGTATGCCATAGAGGATGAGAAGTTGGCACCTGCTAAACCGATAAGGGCTGTTAAAATCATAAATGTCGCATAAGAAGTTGTTGTATCTTGTACAGCAAAGCCGAGCCACACAACAGGAACTAATAAGATAATTGTGGAAATAAATGTCCAGTTTTTACCGCCTAACAGTGCTGGCATGTATGTGTATACAAATCGCAATGTGGCACCTACTAGGCCTGGTAAGGCAGCCAATGTAAATAATTGATCAGTAGTAAAGTTAAATCCAGCGCTATTTAGCTGAGCTGCAATGGTTGCCCATAAGTACCAAACACAGAATGAAAGTGTTAAGGCAATAGTGGATATAATGAGGTTTTGTTTAGCAATTTTTTTGCCAAACTTTTCCCAAAATTCCGGATTCTCCGGTTGCCAATTAGCCACGATTTCGCTGCGGCTTGCACCTACTTGAGGCATTTTTAGTTCGTTCATTTTGAACTTCTCCTTACTGTAACAACTATACATGTAGACAAGAAAAATATATAAGATTATATATAGTATATATAAATAGTAAAATCTAAAGAATTTCCATAGAAAGCATTCGATTTACTTACAAAACTGCGTTATAATTATTGTAGCAGTAATATTTTTCAATGTCTTACATCACAGATATATTATATAGTGTAATTTTTTTTGTGAATGTGATGTAAAACACACAGATTCTGAAATTAATAAGTTATAATAATCATATATATACGAAAAAGTATATAGTATACGTGCTTTTACTATAAATAGATTAGGATAACTAATGGATTTTGTTATAAAAGTACTGTGGAGTGATAATGGTATGGATCAAAAATTAATTAACCAATTGCTTGCTTTGCCGGGTGAGGAACTACATCTTAAAAAAGGTGATTTTCTCTTTCGTGAGGGGGACAAGGCAGAATACTTTTACGTAGTAGTAAAAGGTAGAATGAGCATTAAGAAGTTTGAAGCTAGCGGACACATTTTTGCGTTGCGTTTAGTAGGGCCGAATAATGTAATTGGTGAGATTCCGTTGTATGAGGAGAACACTAGAACATATGTGTTCAACGCCATTGCTCGGGAGGATTGCTCTGTTTATTGTATACGCTATGATGTGTTGGAAGGGGCTATTGCAAAAGACCATTCATTGGCTATTGCAATGATGAAAATCTACACTTTACATATGCGTCGTCAACAGGCAAAATACCGGGACTTGCTACTTTACGGCAAGAAGGGAGCATTCTATTCTACCTTGTTGCGCTTAGCCAATAGTTATGGTGTAAAGCGCGAGGATGGTATCTTTATTGATATTGCCCTAACAAATCAAGAATTGGCTGAGTTTGCTGCCACATCAAGAGAAAGTTTAAATCGCATGTTAAGTGAGTTACGTAAGTTAGGCTATGTAGCCTATGACAAACACCATCTAGTAATCTGTGATTTTGACGCTTTAATCGGATTACTTGATTTAGAGGTTGATGGTATTGACCCTAATATTAGTAATATCGAATAACAGGATTTTCTCCCTTGTGTTAGCACATCTAGCACAAGGGCTTTTTTTGTAGTTTTGAAGGAGGACACGAGATGAGCTTGTTGTCTCAAAAGTTTAAGTTTCTTCGCAAGAAGGAAGTATCTCCAAACGGCCATCAAATCACAGAAGATGGAGGTCGTGAATGGGAAAATTATTATCGTGACCGTTGGTCTTACGATAAAGTTGTCCGCACAACGCATGGCGTAAACTGTACTGGTTCTTGCAGCTGGAATATTTATGTTAAAAACGGTGTTGTAGCCTGGGAAAATCAAGCAATTGACTACCCTGAAACACCAGATGATATGCCAGATTATGAACCACGTGGATGCCCTCGTGGTGCAACATTCTCTTGGTATCTTTATAGCCCTTTGCGCGTAAAATATCCTTATGTACGTGGCGAATTGGTCGAGCTTTGGAGAGAAGCGAAGAAGCATGCTAAGAATCCAATCGAAGCTTGGAAATCTATCGTAGAAGATCCTGAAAAAGCGAAAAAATATAAGTCAGCCCGTGGTATGGGTGGCTTTGTGCGCTCCACATGGGATGAAGCAACAGAAATTACTGCAGCATCCTTACTATATACAGCAAAAACATATGGTCCTGACCGCAACGCAGGCTTCTCTGTAATTCCTGCGATGTCCATGTTGTCCTATGCAGCAGGGGCTCGTTTCCTTAACTTGATGGGTGGTACACCATTGTCCTTCTATGACTGGTATGCCGATTTGCCACCTTCCAGCCCTCAAGTTTGGGGTGAACAAACTGATACACCTGAATCTGGTGACTGGTATAACGCTGGTTACATCATGACGTGGGGTTCTAACGTACCGTTGACCCGTACGCCAGATGCTCACTTCTTGACAGAGGTTCGTTATAAAGGTACTAAAGTAGTATCCGTGTCTCCTGACTATGCGGAATCTACAACTTCTTCCGATGCATGGCTCAATGTAAAAGCTGGTACCGATGCGGCTCTGGCAATGGCAATGGGTCACGTTATCCTAAAAGAATATTACATCGACAAAGAAACTCCATACTTCAAAGAGTATGCAAAAGAGTTCACAGATATGCCATTCCTTGTACGCGTTGAAGATATCAACGGCACAGTTCAACCAGGTCGTTTCTTGAATGCTAAGGACTTAGGTCGCCAAGAGGAAGGCGCTGACTTCCAAATGGTATTGATTGATGAATTAACAAATGAAATCGTTGTACCTAATGGTACAATGGGTGAACGTCACACGAACCCACAAAAATGGAATTTACGACTTGAAAATCGTGATACAGGGGCTAAAATTGATCCTCGCTTGTCCGTATTTGATCAACGTGAAGACGTGACTGTTGTTAAGTTACCGTACTTTGGTGATGAAGAACACGAAGGCATTATTGAACGCGCTATTCCAACTATTACAGTACAAACTGTTGATGGTCCTGTGAAAGTGACTACTGTATACGATCTCATTCTTGCTAACTACGGTATTGACCGCGGTATCGGTGGTGAGGTAGCGACAGCTTACACTGACGACACACCTTATACACCTACATGGCAAGAAAAAATCACTGGCGTAAAAGCGGACATTGCTATTGCTACAGCACGTGAATTTGCAGATAATGCTGAAAAAACGAAAGGTCGTTCCATGATTATCATGGGCGGTGGTATCAACCACTGGTACCATGCCGATGTTATTTACCGTACTATTTTGAACCTTATCATGTTCTGTGGTACAGAAGGCGTTAACGGCGGTGGTTGGGCCCACTACGTAGGTCAAGAAAAGCTTCGTCCTGTTGAAGGTTGGGGTGGTATCATGACTGCCAATGACTGGAGTAAGGCTCCTCGTTTACAAAATGGTACATCTTGGTTCTACTTTGCTACAGAACAATATCGTTCTGACTGCATCGACTTGGCAGACCGCGTATCTAAATTGGCTAAACCTCGCTATCGTCATCCTGGGGATTACAACGTCTTAGCAGCTCGTTTAGGTTGGTTGCCATCCTATCCTACTTTCAATAAAGGTAGCCAAGAATTGATTAATGATGCTCGTGCAGCCGGTGCTAGTACAGAAGCGGAAATCAACCAATATGTGGCACAAGCCTTGAAAAATAAAGATTTACAATTCTGTGTAGAGGATCCAGCAGCTAAAGAAAACCATCCACGTAACTTGTTTGTATGGCGTGCGAACCTTATCGGTTCTTCTTCTAAAGGCCACGAATACTTCTTGAAACATTTATTAGGCACAAAAAATGCCGTATTGGAAGATGATGATGCTCCTACACGCCCAGAAGAAATTAAATGGCGTGAAGCAGATGGTGCGGGTAAGCTTGATCTCTTAATTGATATCGACTTCCGTATGGCGTCTACAGGTTTATATTCTGATATCGTGTTTCCCGCAGCTACATGGTATGAAAAAGAAGACTTGTCTTCTACGGACATGCATCCATATGTACATGTATTCCAAGCAGCTGTTGATTGCGCATGGGAAACTAAATCCGACTGGGATACATTCCGCACCCTTGCAGAAACAGTATCTCGCGTAGCAAAAGAATCTGGCTTTACAGAATATGAAGATATTGTAGCTACCCCACTTGGCCATGATAGTCCAGGCGAAGTAGCGCAACCAGAAGGTAAAGTTCTTGATTGGAGTAAAGGCGAATGTGAACCAATTCCTGGTAAAACAATGCCGAATCTCGTTCATGTAAAACGGGATTATAGTCAAATCTTTGAAAAATACATTGCATTGGGACCTAATATTGAAAATAAAATGGGTGCGCACGGTTTGGCTTGGGATGTATCTGACGAATATCAAACATTGTATGCTCAAAATGGTACGATTGATAATCCAGACTTTATTTCTCATGGTCGTCCAAGCATCTACGAATGTAAGGAAGCTTGTAATGTTGTATTAACATTATCCTCTTGTACAAATGGTAAATTAGCTGTTCGTTCTTGGAAAGCTATGGAAGATAAAACAGGTCTTTCTGGGCTTGAAAAGAATGCAAAAGGTCGTGAACAAGAAAAAATTACCTTCGATGACATGGTTCGTCAACCACGCTTTATCATTAGCTCTGTAACAAGTACTGGTAAGAACGATAAAAACCGTCGTTATTCTCCATTTACAACATCTACAGAAGATAAGGTACCATTCCGTACTGTAACAGGTCGTCAATCGTTCTATTGTGATCATGAAATGATGCGCGACTATGGCGAAGCTATGGCATTGTATAAACCTGTATTATCATATAAACCAGTACAAGGTGATTATAAACAAGAAGGTATTCCAGAAATTACATTGAAATACTTAACACCACATAATAAGTGGTCTACACATAGTATGTATTTTGATAGCCAACAAATGTTAACATTATTCCGTGGTGGACAAACAATTTGGCTCAACGAAGATGATGCAGCAGAAATTGGTGTTAAAGATAATGACTGGGTAGAAGCATTCAATAAAAATGGTGTAGTTGCAGCTCGTGCGGTTGTATCTCCACGTATTCCTCGTGGCATTTCTTATATGCATCACTCTCAAGACCGTCACATCAACGTTCCTGGTACGCAAGTTAAGAAAGATCGTCGCGGTGGTACACATAATGCACCAACACATATTCACATGAAGCCAACCCACATGATCGGCGGTTACGGTCAATTGAGCTATGGTTTTAATTACTATGGTCCAACTGGTAACCAACGTGATATGACAATTGTGGCTCGTAAATTGAAGGAGGTGGATTGGCTTGAAGATTAAAGCTCAAGTATCCATGGTCCTAAATTTGGACAAGTGCTTAGGCTGTCATACATGCTCTATTACTTGTAAAAATACATGGACGAACCGCGAAGGCGCGGAATATATGTACTTTAATAACGTGGAAACCCGCCCTGGCGTAGGTTACCCACGTAATTGGGAAAACCAAGAAAAATGGAAGGGTGGCTGGACTCTCGATAAAAGCGGTAATTTGGCGCTTTCCACAGGTTCTAAAGGTTCTCGATTGATGAAGTTGTTCTATCATCCAGAGCAACCAGAAATTACGGATTACTTTGAACCTTGGACATACGATTATGAAACATTGATTCATACCGGTCGTAAAAATAATCAACCCGTAGCACGTCCTCGCTCCTTGCTAACAAAGCAAAAAATGGAAGTAACATGGGGCCCTAACTGGGATGATGATTTGGCTGGAGGTCATCATGCACGAGAAGATGTGAACTTGGCTAAGATGGGTGACGATATTGTATTTGACTACGAAGAAGTATTTATGCGTTATTTACCACGTCTTTGTAACCACTGTTTAAATCCTGCATGTGTAGCGGCATGTCCATCCGGTGCCATCTACAAGCGTGATGAAGATGGTGTTGTACTTGTTTCCCAAGATGTATGCCGCGGTTGGAGACATTGCGTTCCATCTTGTCCATACAAAAAAATCTTCTATAACTGGGAAACAAACAAAGCTGAAAAATGCGTATTCTGTTATCCTCGTTTGGAAAATGGCTTGCCTCAAATCTGCGCTGAAACATGCGTAGGTCGTATGCGCTATGTTGGTGTAGTTTTATACGATATGGATAAAGTTCAAGAAATGGCATCTACTAAGGATGAACAAGAAATTTACCAAAATACAGTAGATTTAATTTTGGATCCTAATGATCCAGAGGTTATTAAAGCCGCTCGTGAAGCGGGTATCTCTGAAGCATTCTTGAAAGCAGCTAAAAAATCTCCTGTTTACAAGCTTGTAAAACAGTGGGGCGTTGCGTTGCCGTTGCATCCAGAGTATCGCACATTACCAATGGTTTGGTATGTGCCACCGCTCAGCCCAATCTTACAACGTGTAACATCTGATGTATACTTGCCAGATGCACATGAAATGCGCGTGCCTGTACAATACTTGGCTAATATGTTTACTGCTGGTAATACAGATATTTTAGCTCGTGTATTACAACGCATTCTCGATATGCGTGAATACATGCGCCGCCGTGAGACAGGTGATGAAGCAATCGCCCACGAAGTAGATCTTACAGAAGAGCAAATGTATGCTATGTACAAATTGTTAGCATTGTCTAAATATAATGATCGTTTTGTTATCCCATCTGATGTTAACGTATCTCGTGAAGATCGCTTAGAAATGCAACACAATCGTGGCTTTGCATGCCCGACAGGGGGTTGCCATAATGGATGATGCACAAAAAATAGCTCTCATTGCTTCTTTTTTGCTTCGGTATCCAGATGAATCTTGGTACAATGAACTTGGTGAATGGAAAGAGGATACTCGCTCTGTTGAGCATCCTCAGCTTCGCCAAGGATTGTTAGAGTTCTTTGATTACATTGAAGAAACGGATCGTAAGGCCTTTGAAGACCAATACGTACGTATCTTTGACTTCAGTCGTAATACAACGATGTACTTATCAACTTATGAATTGCAAGGTACAGGGGAACAAGCAGAGGAACTCGTTAAATATAAAGCCTTCTTCCTAGAAAATGGCTATGATTTACCAAAGGAGATGCCTGACTATATTCCAGCTATTCTAGAGTTATGCGCTGTTATCGAACCTGAAAAGGCTCGTGAAGTGTATGATTATTGTAAACCAAAACTAGAATATATTAGGGATCGATTGATTGAAGCAAAACTGACCTATGCATTCTTATTTGATATCATATTGTCGGTTGCAAATGGATTGGAGGACGGTGCACGATGAATCTATTTTTATGGGGCGCTTTGCCATATATTGCGTTTACCTTCTTAATCGTAGGCACACTTGTTCGTTTCTTCTACTTTGAAAGAAACTGGACTACAAAATCAAGTGAATTTTTAGAGAAAAAACAATTACGTATTGCCAATCCATTGTTCCACTTTGGTTTGCTATGCGTTATCGGCGGTCACGTAGTAGGTGTATTAGTACCTAAAGCTTGGACTGCAGCTTTGGGTATCAATGACCATATGTACCATGAAGGTGCATTATATATGGGTGCTGTAGCGGGTATCATCTTCATCGTTGGTTTCTTGCTCTTGATGAAACGTCGCTTTACTGTACCTGCTATGAAAGTAAATACATCTGGCCTTGATAAATGGTTATATTTATTCTTAACATTAGCTATCTTTAGTGGTATGGCTGGTACATTGCTTAATGCATCTGGCTTTTTTGACTACCGTGTATCCATCGGCCCATGGTTCCGTAGCTTACTATCCTTTATGCCTGATCCATCCTTGATGGAAGGCGTGCCATTCATGTTTAAATTCCACATGTTGGCATGGATGGTGGTTGCTATTATCTTCCCATTCAGCCGTTTGGTACACTGCTTGAGTGTTCCACTCAACTACTTAACACGTCCGTTTATCATTTATCGTAAACGTGATCAAAAATAATTAGGATGATGATGGATTTATATGCCTATGTATAATAGGACACATTGATCCTTTGCCCCTTGTATTGTTGAAAGCTTATGCTGACACAACTGCAAGGGGCTTTTATAATTTAGAATTATTCTTATATTAAATGCTAGATATCTGATATGAGTAATCTATAAAATTCGATTTAAATGATAAAATATATTAAGTAAATTAGATAGTATAGCTATCATTGTTACATATGTCTATTTCTAGTGAAACCTAAAACTAGTATTATTATCAGTTTGAGTCATAAATGATTGTGAGATTGATATACATTTTCTCTTTACTCGCATAATGAAAATTGTTATTATCTGCATGTTAAACATGATAATGATAATTAGAAACGAAAATTCATTATCTATTCATTTTTGCTTCTGTTATTTTATTGTGTGAGGTTTAGTATGATTAAACGTAAAATGACCAGTGCTTTTGTAGTGGCAGCCATGATGGGTGTGGCTACAGCTTTTGCTGTTAACCCATTTTCCGATGTCCCTTCTGATAGCTGGGCTTATCAAGCAGTAGATCAATTGGCTACAGCCAGTATTATCAATGGATATCCTGATAGTACTTTCAAAGGCCAAAATAACATTACTCGTTACGAAATGGCTCAAATGATTGCGAAAGGCATGGCTAATCAAGACCGTGCTAATGCAGAACAACAAGCTATGTTGAATCGCTTAGCTGATGAGTTTTCCAATGAATTGAATACACTCGGTGTGCGTGTAGCTAAATTGGAAGATCAAGTAGGCAATGTCAAAGTTACTGGTGATGCTCGTATCAACTATATCGGTAAAGAGGGTATCGATGGTTATGATTACGAAGATAAAATCACAGCTCGTGTACGTTTAGGTCTTGATGCAAAGGTTAATAAAAATACATCTGTTAAAGCACGGATTACAACAGGCTCTATTGAACTAGGTGATAGCTCTAAAGAGGCACAAGCTAATTGGGATTTAGCATATGTAGAGCACAAATTCGGTAAAAATGTTGTGGTCGATGCGGGTCGCTATACTCAAAAATTTGGTGGTGGCTTGATTTATAGCTCTAACTTTGATGGGGTAGGCGCTACAGCTAAGCTTGGTGATAAAGTTACATTAAATGGCGCTTATGGTTACATGACAGCAGGTCGTTTTGCTAAGACTAGTAAAGCTGATAATGGTGATGTAGGTCTTATCAATGCTAATGTAGCTGTTAATGATCGCTTTGGTTTTGGTGGTATGTTTGCTCATGTAGGTACAACGAATGTACGTATGGGTAATGGCAAGAAAAATAACGAATTCGATAATGTATATGGATTTAATGCTAAGTATAATATTGGTAAATTCGGTATTGATGGCGAGTGGGTAAAAGCATCTGGCTTGAGTGATTCCGATATTTGGAACGTTGGCGTTAAATGGGGAGACTATAAAATTAATAAGAAGAACTCTTGGGTTATCCGATTAGATTACTTTGATCAAGCTAAGAATGCACCTGTATTTAAAACACAAAAATATGAATCTAATGATTTATTAAAGAAAACACGGTATGAAGGTTATAAAGCATGGCAATTAGGTGCATCCTACGCACCAGAGAAAAATATCGGCATTAATGCATATTACGGTTTCAATGCTAAAACACAAGAGGGGAATCGCGTAAATGATTACTATCGTGCGGATCTTAACTTTAAATTCTAATTTAATAATTGGATTTTAATTTAATCAGTAATTAGTTCTAAGTAGAATGCTATAGGGTGAGAGTGTTTTATTAGCATGCTACATTAGGCCAAACTAGATGTATACTTGTAGATCCTATAAGACATAGAGAGGTTTATTATGGCAGAAGTTGTAAAAAAACAGTTTAAGAGTAAATACCATATTTTAATTTGGATTGCAGTTTTATCCTTAATATTTATGGGGATGGTGGAATATGGTTATGTAACAGGTGGTAGACCATTCGGCAATTGGAAGGTTCATTTAGGCCTTATTCCTTATGTGGCATGGCTTGTATTAACATACATTGCAACAAAACCAAAATGGTTTATCAAACGATACAATCCAAAAGAAATGTTTGAAATTCATCGCATCGTAGGTATTGTTAGTGTGGTTCTCGTATGTGCACACTGGTATGTATACTTCTTGAAAGCTTTGAAATCCTTTTTAGGCTTCTGGGGTGGTTATATCTCCCTTGTGGCTATGTTTATTGCTCTTATCTTTGCGGTATTATACTTAACACCTTGGGTAGGGAATATGGCAAAATCTGTATCTCGTAAAAAAGCAATCTGGATTCATCGCTTGAATCTTGTTGCTATTATTGCGGCAAATATCCATGTTCATGGATTTGGACGTTTATCTAAAATGGTGCCATTCTTACCTGTATTTGACGTAGTGACTTATGCGCTTGTTATTTACTATATTTATTGGATGTTCAAACAAAAATAATATATCGTAGGCATCTCTTTCTTTGGTAAAAGTAGGAGAATCACACGATAAAAAAGACCATCTCTGACCCTTATGGGTATAAGCGATGGTCTTTTCAGGTTGTTTGCGATACAATAGAATTATAAGTATATATTCTATGGATTTATGTAAATATATGCTGTTGCATTCTTTTGAGGTAAGAGTAAAAATCTGTTCTATAAACATTTCTTTTGTATTATAGTATTCTTTAGCTCATATCGATATGTATATTACTACCTTTATAGGTAATTTCAAATAAGAAAGAAGGATATTATGGATTCTTCTTGGAAACGAATTATATACCTAATCTGTACTATACAGGTTGGTGGGGGTATAACAATTATTGGTGTATTATCCTTTCTTCCGTTATTTTTAGCTGAGCTAGGTCTTCATGATCCAGGAGAAGCCGCTATGTGGGCAGGCCTTGTATCAGGTGTAACGCCTTGTATGGTGGCACTGAGTGCACCCTATTGGTCGCGTAAGGCTAATCAGCTTGGTCCGCGTAAGGTAATGATGTTCATCTTGTTTACCCTGATGGTGACTGTTGGTGCCTGTGCTTTTACACAAACACCATGGCAGTTATTAATGTTACGTATATTGCAAGGTGTGGTAGGAGGCTATGTTCCAATAGGATTGGCTATTATTATTCTCGTAACCCCTGAAAATAAGGTGCCTTGGGCAATGGGCTTATATCAAGCCTCCATGGTTATGGGCCTCGTTTTTGGACCACTCATGGGTGGTTTGGTGGCGGACTTATTAGGTTATCGTGCACCATTTGTTATGTTCTCAGCCTTAACAGGGCTTTGTATGTTGGGAATTTATCTATTTATGCCTAATCTACAGTTTGAGCATAAGGTAGATGCTAGAGAGTCGCAGCTGTCTCTAATTAAATCCTTTTTGGTCATACCTCGAGTTCGCCTCTTGGTAGGGCTATTGTTCTTATGTAATTTTGGTATTACTGGTATTTGGTCCCATTTTACCACTATACATTAAGCACTATATGCATATGAATGATGAGTTTGTAGCCACTATTGTTGGTATAATCATCTTTGGCGCCGGTTTGTTTAGTGCTTTAGCTTCAATCTCCATTGGTAAGATAACAGAACGTTTTAACCATGCCTCGTATTGTTTTTACTGCTACATGGGCTGTAGGGACTTTGTTTATACTTCAATATATAATGCCTAGTATATGGGGCCTTGGAATATTCCGTGCCATTGCAGGATTCTTCATGGGTTTTATTACACCGATTGCCAATACGCTCATATCCAAGGCGGTTCCTATTGAGCGGAGAGGTATCGTGTTTGGTGCGGTGTCCTAGTGTAGCCATGATGGGAAATGTATTGGGGCCTGTCCTTAGTGGCATGATTGCTCGTGCCTTTGGGTACGGGGCGGTCTTTTGGTCTACAGCAGCTATATTCTTTGTAGCGGCGCTGTTTATTTATCGTAGTGTTTAGTTATTCCCAGTGAAAGTCAATCGGCATAGCTGATTTGCTTTCACCGTTTTAGACATAGTTAAATATATTTAGTAGTATGTATAGAATCTATAAATACTATGTAGAGAAAAACGTATGGCAAACTCCAATATGGGGCTGTATGTTGCGAAATGTTTCAAAGGTATTGAGCTGTTTAAATCTGCAAGAGAGATGAGAGTGCATCGTTATGTTATTAAAACAATTAGAGTATTTTGTGTGTGTAGTAGATAACAACAGTTTTACACAAGCTGCAACAGAGCAATATGTATCTCAATCTGCTATATCTCAGCAAATCAAAGCTCTTGAAACTAGTCTTGGTGTTGAACTAATGGTTCGAGAAAAACGAAGCTTTCATCTAACACCAGCAGGACAATATTTATATCGATCTGGGAAAAAACTATTAGAACGGTTTCATGATATTAAGGTAGAAACGACGCGTATCGGTACAGATGCACGTGTGAGTTTGCGCATTGGTTATTTGAATCGTTACAGTGGAATTGCTATGCAGCAAACGGTGATTCACATGGCAAAGCGTTATAAAAATTTAGATATTCGTATGTACAGCGGCAGTCATGAAGCGCTATATGGCATGCTCAGTGATCGTCGTGTAGATGTAGTATTTAATGATCAATGGCAAATTTTATCTGATGATTTTGAAAGTCATTTAATTGATAAAGCCACTACATTTATTAAGGTACCCACAAGGATATACTAATGAAGACTGTGTAGAACTAAAGCATATCGATGATTTACCACTTATTTTATTGTGTCGTGGGAAATATACCTTGTCTGAAGAAGAACACTATCGCAAAGCCATAGGTTATAATGGTGCCTTCGCTTATGCTCGTACGTTAGAAGAAGCACGATACTTGGTTGCAGGGCAGCAAGGGCTATTACTATTAGATTGTTTTAAATATTTAACAGATCCTATGCCAGGTATCGAACGTAAGGTATTGATGAATCATGGTAAACCTATGGAACGTCACTACTACTTTATATCTCAACGAAATCAAAATAATTCATATATTGTAGCACTCAGAGATATGTTCCAGCAGGTACTTGAAAAATTATAAATGAGATTATAAATGAAAAAGCCGTTAGCAATTTGCTAACGACTTTTTTCTTTTTCTGTACATCGTCTATTTGTATTTTCCTTATATAGTTATGATAGTATTAGAAATTTAAATTTTTCTTGTATCTATGAGTATAGCCTTACAAAAAGTCTTTTAACATCATGAGGCCATCAATACATAGCTTGATACCGTAAATGACGAGAACCGAACCACAGAAACGGTTAATCCATGCCATATGAGTAATCTTAATTTTTTTAGCTAGAAGATGCATTGTGGTAGCTAGAGATCCAAACCAAATAGGTGTCATTACCAAGGAAACCAGAGAAGAAGTAGTACTCTGCGTTGATACCACTGCTT